ATATATTCAGTGATTAGTGCTTACGGTTCTAATATACCTACTTTACGGAGAAAGGATCTGAGAAATGGTCATGGTAATGTAATCACTAATCATGTAATTTTTTCCACCTAGCAGGTTTTTAGATTTAGCGGATGAACATATATATAAATAATTGGATTTGTGAGGTGGGTTAGCAACTATATTACTTTTATATTTTTGTTGAAAAAAAAAGTCTACAATGGAAGGAGAACTTTCAATTAAAATTGATAAATAAATTCTCCTATTGGCTTTATTAATTGCACAGGATACACTTTCAAAAAAAATACGATTAAACAATGATACTTTTATATAGTGGAACTAGATGACATTTACCTTGCTGTTCATGATAAAAAAGGAAAAAGGAAAATCCCACTAGATGGTAAGTTGTACGATTTCTCTGATTGTTTCAGAAGGAAGCAATTTTTGTTTTTCATATATGCCTCATTTCTCATTTTCACTGCTCTGTATATTATAGGTCAATTCAAAAAAAGAAAATGGTTCGTATCTAATGGTCTATAGTGATAGAGTCAATATTGATAATATCATTGAAAACTCGGGATGTCCAGAGCAATATATAGTAGGAGGGTTATGATTACAATTGGTATTCAATCTGGGATCTTTCCAAGAAGATGCAAGTGGTGCCAGTATTAGATGACAATAATGTACAGTATATATGTTTTTAAATGTCTTTACAATATATATATTCTGGAGAAATTATTTCTTGTATGTTGCGGCATTGTCTCATGAAATGAGGATGCTTTTGCATCTAAGCTACGAGAGTTAATTATCAAGTCATATGTCGAATTAATGCCTGATGTCACATGAAAATGTATGAGATATTCTGTAAGCAACTCATGTTAATTATCTGAAAACACATTAACGATCAAAATATAGTAAATCATGCAGAGAATGTCCATTTCATGGATTCTTTATAGGTTTTACTTTTCACTACTTAAGTTTCAATAATACTTTCGCGAATTTTCGTCATCAGAGTAATTACATTCACATCACTTGCCTCATTATCTTCAGAGAAATCCGAATTAAAACTTGAAGAATTGCCAAGAAACAGTCACAGAATGGCTAGAGATAAGAGAGGAGATGTGGTTGAGACATTTACCTCAATTTCTGCTGAACCTGCATAAATCATTATTCAATCAAATCTAGATTCTTCAAACTTTGCAGAATGCTTTGTTCTGGTAAATTTTTCGAGTCAGGCTTGGAGACTTGAGATTTGATTGGAATATTTATCCGAGTTTCTGATGGAACATAAGCTTTGGATAGGCATACTTACAATTACTTTCAAAGTACCATGATTCTGATCGTAAAAATTGTTCACGGTTTTCAAAGTCACTTGATCTACAATATACTGGATTTGAAGATTAATAAGTCTTGAATAGTATCCATGCTATATATCAGGAAAATAAATCTTACGTAAACCTACATAGGGTTCAGAATTGGCCAGCATTATGTCGATATTTTGGTAATTCTGTTAACATTTCCGCATAATGCTGGTCAGTTTTAAACCCTACGTAGGTTTACGTGAGATTTATTTTCCTGATGTCCATATTCATTCACCATATTATATTGTGCTCAAATAATTAAGTGTACATATAACTATTAATAAAACAAATGTTAATAGATAGATATGAATAAGATGTCAATATTCCATTCAATAAAGATTACATCTACCTGCAGTCTTTCTTAAATTGATAATATAAATGATAGCCTTTATTAATAATGGAGTAATAAATTACTTATTTGTAATTAATGGTATATAAAAATAGTTTAATAATTACATAAACAAATGCCTCTTTAGTAAACTCCACAGGTATTGATGTGTTAGAAATGCCACATGTTTAAACAATCTATGCTTTATTTTACATCTAATGGTAGAGTCTCATCTGTGATTGTATTGGAAGAAAGTTTTTTTAATAAAGTGAATTTAAATTTCTTTGCTTCTAGTGAAATTTGTAATAATTTTTTTTATCAATTGAAAACGTGATTTTACATATATACAAATCTACTTTAAAATTATAACGTAATTTCGAGATCGTCATAGAGTGATAGTCGTGATAAATCGAACTTTAATGCTCACTCACTCACTATACGTATATATAAACAACTGTTTTTTTGGAAAACGAAGACCTTACCGATACGGGACTATTTACACGATTTCTTGTTTTTTCTTTGTTATTATTATTATTACTATCCATCATTTATACAGCCAAACCTCTATGAAATACATAAGAAAATGGCATTTAAAATTCTTTATACCAAAATTATTAATCGCGTTTCAACGAATTTTATATTTTTATATATATGAAGCAAAAAAGATCGTTGTAACTCGAATTTAATTATAATCCGTTGAAACGAGGTTGACTATATATCTATTATTATATTATTATGTAGCAATGTGCAGGTAAGTTATGTAAGTGTAATAACATTGCGTTTGCGTCAAATTACATGTTTACATGTAATTATCAAGCTATAATTAATATAAACACTGAATTCCTTTAGTTGTAAAATGACTTTTTCTTGGGTAAAGAAAATAACAACAAGTTTCGACTTGGAAAACAATAATTCTATTAAATAACCCAAAACTATTTGCTAGTATGAAACCCATTTCGTCTGATCCTCATCGATTAAACTGCAACCAAATTTTATGAATTGGATTATCAATTTACCAATTGCAAACTTGTTCGGATTTGAATAGGTGATTAAAACTGGTTCCAACCTCAATTAAATTATAAAATAGCTATCATGGAAAAATTATTGAATTCGTATACAATATTAAAATTATCTATCAGGATAATGCTATACATTAAATCACAAAAATAGCATTACTATATTCACCCTATAATTTGTGAGTCATATGACATGTTTTTCTTAACATTAATTGATGATATGTTTATGAATCAGTCGGTTTGCCGTGGAAACACCAATCTTTACATCATCAAAATAAAAAATAAATTTTCAATACAGGCAAAGAAAGAAAATAATCTTTGAGCCTTTTCCTATTTGTGTGCACAAAAAAAATTTTACCTAGTGCTACAAAAGTATAAATACAACTTTCATGCAAAGGTCATTTTTGCAATGAAATATGTCAATCATTTCATTGAATTCATTTTTTTTTAATTAATGCATAAAATTTAGCCAATCAATTTTCTAAAATTGAATTTTCAAACAATATTATTAAAGAACTTGAATTCTTTAAAAGTACATTATATAATAATGATGATGATTATGTAATTATATTTCAAATCATATTATTTGAAATCAAAATTCCAATGATAATTAATGTAAAAAAAAGGTTGCTATAATTTTTCCATACTACTCGCTCATTCTCATTCATTCATTCAACTTGGCTGCATTCATATTTATTTGCATTCAAACAGGAAATTTTATAAGGATACTAGTTCGAATGTTTATTTAAAAATCAAAAACTTGAAGCAAAACTCGATTAATAAATTAAGCAGCCAAAGTATTTTTTTATTTATTCATATAGTTAAGAATGGCAAATAATATAATATAATTAATATATTTTAAAGACTTCAAATATTCCTTGATAAATAAGTTTATGTATAATAATAATAATAACATGACTGCTTCAATAATAATAAAACTATTTATAAAAAAAAAGTACACCGAATTTCCTCTTTTGTTTTTAAAAAAATGGAAGGAAATAATAACTATAGAACAAGACACCAACTTTCTGCGCCGCAACGACAGTTTTTGAGAAAAAATTTAGAAATGCCAATAAAAAAAATCTTATTTGTCACACGTTTGTGAAGATTGTCAAGTGTAGGATTTTTATTCAGATATAATATGTACATATAGTATAGTTAATTAAGATAATGTACCAATTGTATTAGAAAAAGGAAATTTTGTTCAATAATAATATGGTTCAGTTTTTTTTCTTGCTGTTATCACATGATAAAAGTTCGACCGCACAAATTTCGTTCATTTTTAATATTTTTAATATTAATATGAAAAATTTGTAACACGTAAATTTGTTAAGCTCGTGCAACTTTGAGACTTAATTCCTCCACAACAACATGCATGACATATTAACAAAATGAAGATGTAACTTTGTAAAGAAAGGTCATACGGTGCAGATCATCTATAATCATTAATTGCTTATAGTAACAATTGGTCA